TGCTGAAAACTTCGATGTGCTTCAGCAGGGATATATTTGTGCATATCTGAATGACTCTACTTATACTGAATGTTAAAGATGGACATCTATAAATTGAAGTTTCTCTCACTTTCAATCTCTGTTGCAGGCTGGCTCCCATTTCCTAAAGGTACGTTCACCAAAAAAGGAAAATGACCATATTTCATATATGCATGTGTACAGCTGGCTTTGGCTCTCAATACAAGAAAGGGGGATTGGCTAGGCATCATGTTAGATAGAGAAGCATTACGAAAAAGAGTTTATCCAAAAAAAAAAAAACAAAAAAAACCCCCAAAAAAACACTTTCAAAAAAGTCCTTTTTAGCACTGCTGAAAACACTAAATTATATTTCTCTATCAAACTCTTAAAGGCCAATCCACCTTCACTGCCAATCATCGCAGTTGTGAAAACACAACTATGCTGTTCCAAATGAAGACCTGACTTAAGGTCCAAGGCAAAGGACTATGACCTTTAACTGCCTTGCAGTCAGTCATCCACAAATGAGCACAGTAACAGGAGTTAGGAGGTGAACAACACCTATATATTTTGGTACCAGCCGTCTCCAGCGTGGGCCAATCCCGACAACCTTGCTACACACATAGTACTGATTACCTGCAGCTGAGTATGACTCTTGAGAAAATACAGCCCAAGCAGAAGCTAATTGGTATCTCAAAGTCAGTGAGTATCAAGGATGCTGAGGCTTCAGCTCTATTTTCATCTAGATATTTTTCACCTATCCCAGTAAATCACCTGTTTGCAGAGCATTCAATTTTACAAGCTCTGTAGAGTCCGCATGTTGAAGGCAGGGGCAAGCTTCTCTGGAGATGATTTATGGCCCAAGTCACAGAAGTACAATCATAAATTGCAGCTTTTCAGCATTTTCAGTAGGTTGGAGAAAACCAACAGGAGAGGAAACATTTACACCAGCAAAAGAGGCTTCAAAGTATTCAAATTAATTTAGAAAATGGGCAAAGAAATTAGTGGCCAAAGCATTTTTTTTCACTTAATGGCTACATTGTTTTTAGAGTGCTTAACTTTGTTTTGTAATCATTTATTTTCATCAAATAAGCAAATTTAAAACTTGCATCTATATTGCAATTGTTTTGGTTCCTTTGACAATGAAAATGTTTCAGCTATGTTGCCATTGTAGTCATGCATAGGTGGTTTTAACTTTTAGAAGTAAAACTTTCATGTTCCTTCAGGTATGTGTATGTGCATATATATCAAAGTTTGTGATGTACTTTTGCAGCAGATGAAGTGTTCCAGGTACATACGATTGCAAATAGTAGATCAGAATTGTCCCTTCTCACCAAAAAAGATTTAACTACAAAGATGCTAATTTCGCAAGACAACCATTTAGATTTATTCAGGAAAAATCTTTGCTCTCACCATGTCAACAGGAGTTTTACTAGTGACAAAAATGACAACTTTTTATTCTAAACAACTAGCAGGGAAAAAATCCTCTCAACAGAAACACGAAAGTGTCACAGACAGCTTAGAGGTTTGCAATAATAGAGCTACACACTGAAAAATCAGTGAATTATATGACCTTCAGAGGAAAAAAAATAACACAGAAGTGTTCTTTCTACTGGGGAGAAACGTAAAAGGAAGCAGAACTTCACAGACCTCTTGTGATGGGAGAAAAATGCTGTTTCCTCTCCCTGAGAGTAGTGAGGCACAGGAAACTTTCTGGCTAGATCTGCCTCTAGGTCATTGGTCCTACTGACTCAGCTGAAGTGTCACAAGTTGCCCTAATGCCACATATATTCACTGTGCTATAACTGAATAAATCCAGACTTTACTGTCTCTATCCCTGTGCATTTATTTCTGGGACACTGCTGGATCTTTATTTGGTGGAACCTAGAGATAAAGTGAAAAATCAGTTCTCTCTCAATGCTTTATTTCCTTTCTTTCCATTTGTCCTTAACCTTGGAGACTTGTTTTGTTTTATAAACCAACAAGCACATTCAGGGATAGATGCTGCTCAACATTACCTGCAGGACTGACATCTAAGTTGCCACAGCCAAGTACATGTCTATACTGTAAATGTCAATTTGTGTATTCATTTGTCTTAATATTAACAGGAAGGCATGGGAATTAAGGCTGAAATAAAAAATCAGGCAAATATTTCAAATATTAGAACAGGCAAATATTTCACTGGTTAGTTAAAGTCCACTCTCCAAAGCTACCTTTTAGAGCAGGCAAATATTTCACTGATTAGTTAAAGTCCACTCTCCAAAGCTACATTGCTGAACAGCAGATCAGCATGACTTGCTGGATAAATGAACATTCTTATTCAGATATGCCTCTGTTAATGGTATGCATAGCCATTTCTCAAATGAGAAAAAAAAAGTTTTTAGGTCTTATGTCATGCCATTTTAGGTCTTATGTCATCACATTTACTTCACATGGTTACCGCACTAGGAAATCAGGACCTGACACATGAAACCAGAGCCCATGCAACCATATTTGCCTAACTTCTCATCCACTGAAAGAGTAAGACGGATGATCTGCCTAGGAGTTATGTTTCTACTACTACATCTGCATTCTTTGCAGGAGCTGCAGTATGCTTTATTAAAATCATGCAATCTCATGATTTGGACTACTACAGTGGACTACTACAGGGCAGACACCCTGTTAGCATGGGAACAAAAAGAAGAACTCAACGCTCAAAAATAAAATAGTTTTGAATCCATGATAGTCCAAACTTTGTCCTTATTGCCATGAGGGGAGTGTTGATTATGGCAATCTAGAACAGCTGGAGAGGTGTGTGGTACACTCCTCTGCATGATTAAAACATCAGCTTGTTTCACAGAGGCCACCAAGCAGCCAGGTAGCTGCAATTTTATTTGAAATGGGGAGGATACAGGAAGAGGAAAGTGTTGCTGTTGTTGTTTGTTTGTTTTCTTAAGAAAAACAAATATTGGCTCTAACAAGACTGAAGAAAGCAACAAAATATACCATCTCTCATTAAGGACAGGGGTTTGAAACATTTAAGTTTAGATATTTTTCAAAGACAGAAGACATTTTTCAAATCAAGTAACAACCATTTCAAACAGTTTCATTACCCCTCTCAAGGCCATCATGGCAGAGATATTCTCAAATTAATTTTGAAAAAATGCATCCTGGCGCAGATAGTGGCCAAGCTGGTGTTATTTCACCCACAGCAAAATTAGTCAATGCCTTTCTTGTTATTGATGTATCTTGACTTTAATTTAAACAGTTCTCCTTAGCTCCGTCAATTACTTAAGGACATACAATGGGTAGAGGAAATTCTAGGAGGTTTATGTCAGCTGAAAGTAGCTGACAGGTAGATGTTTTATCTCTAAAGATCTCTGAAAATTGGGTATCGTTATGGATATTTTCCCTCACAATTTGGCTATGAGATGTAGTTCCAAATAAAAACTTTAGCTTCCCTGTGCAGGAAGGAACCTACTTACAGTAGGAAAATAGTGCTGATAGAATGCTTTGCTTCTCTTTATATGAATTTCAGCTTTTTGAGTTGTACCATTTATGACAGTGTAGAAGAAACCTACCTGTTATCAACATGAAGATTAGGAATTGTTTTTCTGAACAATTTACATTAATTACTAGTTTATTTCCCTCAATATTTTGAACAATAAACAGATTTTACATGCTTCCTGGTAGGATATAGGCTGTTAAAGTTGAACTGTAAGAGGTCTTGAAACATGTTAGTTGATTTCTTCCCTCAGTATAGGGTCAACTACACCTATACAATTCCCAGTCTGTTTTCACAGAGCTCCATGATGCAAATTTTGCAACTGCTGTAGTTCATTTATTCCACTCTTTAACTACCCTTATCCTTTTTTTCCTTCTTTTTTAAACTGTTGTTGCAATTAAAATCTATTATATCTTATCCTATTCACCAAAGACATGAAGAACACATTATTCCAATCTTTATAGCAACCTTTCAAATAACTCAAAGTTACTTCATTTCAGTTCAATCTTCCTTTCTCTAAAATGAAAAGCCTGATTTCTTTCA